TTGTCGCGTGCTGATCGCTTTTGTAAGATGACACGCCGGCTGAGCGGACACCAGTTCAGCACCGCCAACGTGTGACAACGTGATATCAGAAGGCGAATCTGAGACGAGAGAATCTTCCTGCATTGTTGGATTTTCGGCACCAGTTGTCGCGTGCTGATCGCTTTTGTAAGATGACACGCCGGCTGAGCGGACACCTGTTCAGCACTGCCATCGTGTGACAATGTGATATCAGAAGGCGAATCTGAGACGATAGAGTCTTGCCGAAAGTAAACCCTGATTGATGATTAATATTAAACTTGACATCTGGGCCTGGTGGATAGCAGTCGCTTGGCGACATCGTCATATGCGAAGGCGAGTATGGCGGAAGGGCAGCAGCGTGTGGCGTGGGATGAGTTTGTGGCGTGGGATAAGTGCATCTCAAGATGTATGCTGGGACGAGCGGACGCAGGTGACATGTGAAACTGCCATCCAGAAGCCTAGGCACTGTCTACCTAAATTCTGAACATGTTTGCTTCCGGTGTAGCTGCTTAATCTTATGCTCGGCTTTGCGATCTTGCCAGTATCTGCTCTACTTGAAGAGCCAGTCTCCAGACGGTCTCCCTCTTGTGAGGCTCTGAGCAGGCCGGAAGTGCAAATGCAACGTCCTCTGGCTTCTTAGAGGCTTTCGTACTTTGCCTGGAGGCGGCATTTCTTCAAAGCAGCCTCAAAATGAGATTGACGATGGTTCACCATCGGTGTGCATCGACCTTCGAATGTACGAAGAAGTCATCGGAGTCGAAATCTATAAGTCGCAGGTCGGAGCATGTCCCCACAATTTGCGGGAGCGCAGGACGCATCCTCATTCGGTTGCGAGTTTCACACGGTGCTTCATGTTTCATATTGAAATCTGCCACGCTTGCACTGGAACGGCTCACTACATGCTCGGATTTTTTAGAAAGTTGTCAGGCCGTGCTAGGCCTTGCAGCACTGATAGAGCTAGAAGCGAAGCCCGACTCGGAATCCACAGTCCGAGCTTTTTCAAAGTGCAGCTGTCAAAGCGCATGGCGATGCGAGGTCCCAAGACAAGGGTTCGCGGGCCGACTTTCGTGAGAGTGGCTTTGCTCTACGCCCGGCGCTGATGCGCTTGTCGCTTGTCCCCTTGGCAGGTTTAGGGCCAGGGTTCACCTGCTGCAAGGCAAAGAGCGAGGAAGCCCAAAAAACGCTCACACGTCAAAGGCGTGCCATGGGAAGGCTTTTTGCTTCCGCATGAGTTTCATGACGAGATCCAGGCAAGTGTTCGCATCACAGCAGCGCGCTTCTGGTTTTCGGACCGTCGAGGGACATGCAGCAGTCAGACTGCCATGCTGGCAAGCGGCAAGACACGGCAAGCACGGCGTACAAGAGCAACTTGGCACGGATATGGAAGTCTTGTAGTCTACATAGCAAGCGTCAGGTACAGCAGCAAGCACGTTTAGCCCGGGATTCATTGGTCAAAGCATCTTTTCTTGCAATGGTTGCAGAAGAGGTGCATGCGACATATCTGTAACTGGAGTGCTGGAGCAGAAGTGTCCATTGCTGGAGTCCATGTCGTTTGACAGGAGGCAGCAACACCCGGAGAGGCCGAGGCTCAAGATCAGATTGCCTGTCTGCAAGCTTTCCGTCTGCGTAGAAGGCGTTCAGGATCCGGTCTCGGCAGAGGACTTATGCTTTGTTGCTTTCGCCCCGAAAGGTATGGCTAGCAGCGGAATTCGTAGTGGTTGCGGCAGCATATCGCATAAAGAAAGCATGTCCTCCCCGCTGGCTATACGAGCTTCTGCGAAGCGCCGGCAGTGGCAGCAAGCGCTCATACTGCTTGAGGTGTTGGTGCAAGATGACATGGCCAGCGTTGCTGCATGCAATGCAGCCATCACTGGCTGCGAGAAGGGGGGCCAGTGGCAGCAGGCACTGGCAATGCTGCAATACATCCGGGAGTTGAGGTTGCGAGAGGATGTGGTCAGCTACAACTGCACCATCAGTGCATGTGAGAAGGGCGCCCGGTGGGAGCAAGCTCTGCATTTGGCGGAGAACCTGCTGTCGCGGGGCCTTCTCTCCGATATAGTCACGTCCAGTGCTGTCATAAGCGCATGCCAAAAGGGCCAACACTGGCCGGAAGGATTGGTACTGTTCTCAAGCTTGGGGCAGAACCTGCTACATCCGAACGTGGTTACCTTTACGGCTGCGGTCAACGCCTGCGACAAGGACAGTCAGTGGCCTTTGGCGATTGATCTGCTCGAGCAACTGCAGGACCATGGTGCAGCATGTGAATGCTTTCTCTCTTGCATCTTACCATGTCTTACTCATGTCGGGGCCAGTGGGGTGGGAGCACCGCCGACAGACTCGGAGGACGCGACATGCACAAGGCAGCAATCTAGACCGTGCTTTTCTTTCGACACTGTCTTAGAGCCTTCGGCTATGGCTGCTGTTTAGGAGGGGGCCCATCACTGTTCACTTCCGAAAGGCCCGTGCAATCTCGCTGTCGTTCGTCAGTTCAACTGACCGAAGTCGATGGTTGTAGACCGCCTGGCAGATATGCCGAGTACGATAAGCCCGTAAGTAGAAGGTATACTGTGGTCGGTAGTCTGCATGGATACATCTCACAAGCTCGCACATAGCATTGTCTTGCTGCAGAAGGAGTTGCGGCTGCAAAGCGACACGGTGGCCTATGGGGCGACCCTCAGCTCTTGTGAGAAGGGCTTGGAATGGGAGATTCTTGGCGAGCAGGATGCAGGTTTGCACATCAGCCCTGAACTTCCACCTCGACACGGCCAAGTCTGACCTTCACTTTGTTCCCGTTTCGGTGCAAGACTAGCAACTACAGATTTGAACCCAGCTAACCTTCAGTGTGCGCCAAAACCCCACCCTCTTGATAGAAAGCATGTACAGCCGCGATCAGCCGCGGCGCCAACAAAACGGAAGAATCAGTTGTGCCTTTCAGAAGCAGGCTTGTCTCCATCTGCTGGTTAATGCACGGGAGCGCCCATCCAAGGATTGCCGTTCATCTGCTTGCGGAGATGTGCATGCGGCGTGTGCAGCTCAGCATTGTCGCCTGCAGCTCAGTGCTCACAGCCTGCGAGAAATGCGGCCAGTGGCTTTGGGCTTTGTCACTCCTTGCAGACTTGCATCTTCGACGCATGCGGGTAGACGTCATTGCACATAACGCTGCCATCAGTGGATGTGGGCGATGCAGTGCGTGGCAGTGGTCCTGCCAGCTCTTGCAAGACCTGCTGATTGGAGCAATGAGCCCTTCTTCCGTAACATGCAACTCTTGTCTGGGTGCCTGTGGAGCGGGATTTCAATGGCAAAGTGCACTGCAGGTGTCGACGGAACTAGACCGAGGGTTACGCCGGGACACTATCACCTATAATTCTGCGATCTCTGCTTGCCAAAAGACGGGGGAGTGGCAGCAAGCACTGCAATTAGGAAGTGATGCACGAACACAGGCGATCGCGACAACGGCGATAACGTATGCTACGACCATAGCTGCATGTGGAGAAGAAGGCTTGTGGCAAAGCGCTTTCCGTCTCCTGTGCGAACTGAAACAAGAGCGACTGGAGCTGTCTGTAGCTTCGTCCGGTGCTGCCATCAGTGCTTGTGGCCAGGGCAATCAGTGGGAGCAGGCGCTGCAACTCGTGGAGCAAAGCATAGAGGCATGCGTGCAAAGCACTGTCGTGATGTTCAGTGCCGTGATGACCGCCTGTGAGTCTTGGAGTTTTTTCAGCGTTCCTTGCACTTTCAAGCGCCACAGACTGTGCCTTAGAGACTGACTACTTCGTGGTCGTCTTTGGTTTCAGGAGAAGAGCGAGCAATGGAGCTGGGCCTTGTTCGTCTTCGACCAGCTGCATCAAAAATCCATGGAACCCGACGTCGTCGCTTACAACGCAAGCGTCAGCGCATGCCAGAAAGGACGCCGATGGTGGCAGGCTTGCGCTTTGGAAATAGTCTCATCTCAAGAACCGTCACGACCCCTGTAAAACGCGTAGCCGAGTAGCTGGGTAGCCCACATCCGTACCCTGCTGCTTAGGCTATGACAATCCTGGCGGGTATGAGTCAGTCGTCGGTGGATGCGACGATCGCGACATATAATGCTTGCTTAATGGCTTGCGAGCATGGCTTGCGATGGACATGGGCTCTGAGTTTATTTTCAGAATTAGAAACTTGCAACTTGCAAGCTAATCCAGTCACGTACGGGTCTGTGATCTGCTCCTGCCGTGCCAGTGCTCATCCGGAGCTTCTGCCGCCACTTCTTGACTGTCTGGCGACAGCTTATAGACTGCTCACACCAAAGAATTGATGTGTCAACACTGCCATTGCCACATCCTTTGCCATCAGTTCCAATTCATCTTCAATGTTGTGTAGCTGCAGATGTCGCCACGGGTTATCTCGACCTGTTGGCAGTCTCGGTCTCATACTTCGCAACGGGATCTTTCCGAGCTCGGGGGTAGAGCCGGCAGCGCTGAGTGGGAAAAAGATCGTGTTCCCGAAGTGCAGACCTGGCACAGTGCAGAGTCGGCGACCTGCCTGCAGGCTTGCCGGTGCATCTGTCCATGTTAGTTCAAGCCACCTGATGAGGCCATCCCCGTTGGCGAGACTGTGCCACCCGCGCAACCTCCGCCGGAGGCACGTCTGCAGCTTTGTTCTCGTCTGTAAACGGTGGAGCAAGAACAGGAAGCCGGCCTATCGCATGCCATCTCCCTGGCGATGCGGGAGCAGTGCGCAAATTACAGTCAAAAAGTGTGAGTGCAGAAATGATGAGCTCATCTGCGTTGAAGCCACTCGTGATGGGCCCCGGCTGGCTGGGGTCGAGCCGCGGGTGACGAGTTCCCAAAACACGTGCAAACCCCGGAGTCACATCAAGAACTCGCTCCAACCCTGTGTCAGGCATGTCGGCATGCAGAAAAGAAGCTGGAAAAGGGTAACGAAGGGATATCCTGAAATGAGACATGGGTGCAAACGGAAGGGTGCCGCAGATACAGCAAGCTGGGTACATCAGCACGCTGGGGTTCCTGGGCAGTCGAATGACAACAAGCAATCTATTCTTAAGGGAGAGTGGTTGCATCCCACGTGGAGGTCCCCAACAACAACAGCAACAACAACCACCGCCACCACCACCACCACCACCACCACCACCACCACCACCACCACCACCAGCACCAGCACCAGCACCACCACCACCACCACCAACAACAGCAACAACAACAACAGCAACCACAACGACAACGACAACGACAACCACAACAACAACAACAACGACAACACCAACACCAACACCAACACCAACACCAACACCAACACCAACACCAACACCAACACCAACACCAACACCACCACCACCACCACCAC